ATCGAATGTAGTATTGTGAAATAGAGTTTATAAGCAGGCCCATGAAAAATAGCTATCTGTTTGGGAAGAGTGATAACTGTATACTTTTGTCAGGCCTTCGTATATCGTCGTTGGAATTTTACGATTTAACTTTAAATTCGTTCTGAAAATATCCTCCGTTTTTTTTTTATTACGAAACATTAAAATGTAAGTTATTTTGAAAACCTAATTATAAAAGGAGAAAGAAATTTTTAAAATACCATATTTAAATCAAGGCGAAATTCAGAGAGAAAACGGAAATGTTTGCTGCATGCATATTCTGATTTAACTTTTTATTGATGTTAGTAAGTTAGTGTGTACATGTTAAATTCATACAAGCATCTGTCTATCTAGCTATCGCAGTCTGTTCATATCTATCCATCTATCTTAACATGATACGTCAAGCATCTTTCTGTTTTAAGAAGATATATCTTGTTCAACCTGTTCCTATCTATCTATCTGTATAAATATATGTTCGTAGAAGTATCTGTTTGTTTGAACATATATATATATATATATATATATATATATATATATATATATATATATATATATATATATATATATATATATATATATATATATATATATATAGCAATATCGAGTCAAGTTCGCTACCTCTTCGTCACCGAGGCCTGTTATGACGTTTGCCTGTCAGTGTAACTGTCCGGGTTTCAATTCTCGGTAGTGGATGCGTCCCAAATATAGGACGAAACGGCCGTCCAGTGCTAACTGCATTCTCTTGAGGCTTCTTCTAGACTCGATGAATTACTTATATATGTATATTGTCGTCCACAGGCAGACTGTTTCGCTGTATCACAGCTCATCTTTCTGGTTAGACGCCCGATCTAGCTAGGATCGAAACCCGACTGAATTGGCGTCAATCAGGGATTCTACCACTAAGCCGTTGACGCACGGTAGGGATGAAGGTGAATTTAAGTGTATTTATTTTTAGATAAACAGACAGTGATTGAGAGAACTCGATTCGATTTACCGAAGATTCTTGCATTATTAGCCGTAATAGTCACTGTTTACAAACCCATACTTCTTCCCCAGAGAGCTCAACTGAGTGTTAAAGAATATGATAAAAACTACTATTAAGGAGAGAGGACATTGAAAGAAAAAGAATTAAAATTAAAGAAGATAAAAATTGGCACTGCATTTCAGTTTTTGAAGATCACAGTTGACTGGGAAGCAGAAAGTCGAAAGAGAGTTCCAAAAAGCGAGATTGGAGATCGTCATGGAGATCAGCGGCCATTTTTACTTTGTTAGAATTATCGGATTTACTATTAAGGCAGGAATAAATAATTGTGTCATCAGCACAAATACCTAGTTGATTATCAAGAAGGACGTTGATGAAGATAAGAAACAACGTAGGGGGAAGGATAGAGACCCGGACGGTCCTTGTATTAATGTAAAAGGATCTAGATGCGTGGCCATTCAAAACATACTTCATTACACGAATTGATAACAATGATTGGATCGAGGCAAATATGCGAGCAGAGACACCATAACACTTGAACTTGTGAAAAAGGACAGCATGCCAAATCCTGTCAAATGCTTTCACACACACACACACAAAGACACACACACACACACACATATATATATATATATATATAGAGAGAGAGAGAGAGAGAAAGAGAGACAGACAGACAGAGACAGAGAGAAAATGGTGGAAAGATGTATAACAAAATGGATAAAGTTTTCTTCTTACGCGTTCGTCGTTAAGGTTTTATGTATATATGTTTATGTGCACGTATGTGTATGTCCGTATGTATATATGTGTGTAAATGTGTATATATCTGTAGGAGTGGATGTGTATGGATGTATGTGTATATGTATGTGTGTGTATTTATGTATGTATATGTATACATGTATGTGTATGTGTGTGTATGTATGTGTATATGTATGTATGTATATGTATATATGAAAATATATATATATATATATATATATATATATATATATATATATATATATATATATAAAAAACAATCGATTCTCCTGTCGGGTTCGACGTATGAGGGTCAAGCAGATCAGTTTCCAGGAAACCGACAGCCCGAAACCGGCACATGAGATTTGATTATAGTGGTGAAGGTTTCGTGCAGGACCATCCACACTTTTTGAAGGGCCGAATACAGAAACTTGGTGCACTAAGTGCCACAAGGTCCCCAAACAACACCCCTCAGGTTTTGAATTCAGAGTTGTTCTTCTTCTAGACCAGTTGCCATCAAAGGCTATAGAACCCAGTCTGTCCTGCTATTTAACCCATAGCTGGAGGGAGAAGAATAGGATTCACACCTTTCCCAAGGGTATTAGCACGTAAGTGAATGTAATGGATTCAACCTGGATTCGAACTCGGCCCTGCGATTCCTCAATCCAAGCCGATATCCATTACCCCACCGTGCCTCTCTCTCTCTCTCTCTCTCTCTCTCTCTCTCTCTCTCTCTCTCTATCTATCTATCTATCTATATATATATATATATATATATATATATATATATATGTGTGTGTGTACATGGGTATATATATGTATGTATGTCGGTACACGCACGCCTATATGTATGTATGTACGTGTATATGTTATTGTGTATGTGTGTATACGCATGTGTTTTTGAACATATAAATATAGGTCCTTGCTAGATTAGATAATCGTTATATTTATTTTTTATGTTTAAATTTGATTTGTAACTTGTCGATATTAATTTTGTCAAATTTTCTTAATTACACAGCGGCCCTTTCAGTAAATGCCCTTTCAGTTTTAGTTTCCTTCGCCCCATCTCTCTCTCCCAACCCTTTTCTCTTTTTTCTTTTTTTTTCTTTTCCTCTCCCTCCCTCTTCTTCTGATCTTTAAGATTAGATCGTCTATTGTGTGTGTATGTCACCACAAAATGTATCCTTTCCGGTTACATCATTAATGTATTAGACATCCGACAACAATCATATTTCTCTCACTTAAACTGTCTTTGACTCACCTCTCTAAAACTTCACTCTTTTTAAGTTTTAATCTCCCACCTTCTCTCGTCTGTTACCCCTCTCTTTAGCTCTAACATTCGTCCCACACCCTCATACTTACACTCTCTCTAAATTCTATTTTTTTATTTCGGAGATGTTTTCTGTTTTCTTTTTTGAATTTGTAGGTCTGATGAATTGATCGTATTTACGATTCCAATGGAATAAATTATGACCATGGAATATTAGTGTTTAAGCCTTTTTATTATATCCTTACTCTGTCCTGGACATTGAGTTCTACCTTGATTCTATCCTCTTGAATTTTTTTATTAAATATATATATATATATGTATGCATGTATGTATATATATTTATATATTTTGCATATGTATGTGTATATTTACTACTAATATTATATATATATATATATATATATATATATATATATATATATATATATATATATATATATAATTAATAAACAATAAAATCCCAAATAACGACATATCAGGAACAGTGTATTTCGGCAGATTCATGTCAGAAATAGAAATTAAACTGTGAAAGCTGGTATGTGTGTGTCCTAGGTATGATGATAAACTACATCCGCGTCCTGGTTAAGCCGAGAAAGAACATTCGACAGCATGGTCTTTGATCAGAAAGTTTTCAGGAGCGTGGAAAGACCTCTTATTTGCTGGTGTTTCCAGGTCCACCCTCACTCGGTGTGGTAGTACCTGCTAGGGTGACAGCTCTGGGAAAATAGTTAATATCCCAAAATGGGTCAAAACACTATTAAAGTATAAGTGAGAGATTATGTAATCTTTTGAAAGGAAAAAACCAATATTGAATTATTATGATTTTGGTGAGATAAAAGCTAATGATTATCGAATAGGTTCCATGCTTTAGTTGTTTGGCTGTGGCATTGTTTAAGATCAAGTAGTTTTTTATGTTCAGTTTTTTAGTTTTATTTTTATATATCGTAAAATTACACCTGCACCTTGCGTAATGGATAGTGGCTCGGATTGAGAAGTCGAAGAGCCGAGGAAGAATTCCCGTTGAATCCATTACATTCAATTACGTGGTGCTACCCTCAGGAAAGATATGAATCCTCTTCATCGATCCGCCCCCAGCTATGGGCAAATAGCAGGACAAACCAGGTTCTATAGCATTGCATGGCAACTGGTCTGCTGCAGAAAGAAATGGCAACCTATTGCGGAAAAATATGCCCAGTCAGTCATGTATCGAAAGATACATGATCGCCTAAGCGTGTATCACGGATGGCACATAGCTAACTGACTAACACCTGCACGAATTGATGCAATAATTACAGCACGTAATTCTTGTAAATTATAATAGAACTCCATGAAAAACAATATTCTTTGACCTTCGGTGCAGATCATATACGTGATGATTTTTTAGATAATCAACTCGTGAGATATGGGAAAACAAGGACTTTTGATTGATTTGTTTTTTACTGCTTATCAACCCTCTACTAGTTATTTAAAACCAGAAAATATATTTAGATTGTAAAAAGGCTTTGGAGATAATACTGATTTTTAATGATACAAGTGCTAATTATTAATCCATAGCTAGAGTTAGAAGAATCGGATTCATGCCTTTGCCAAGGGTAGTTGCGCGTAAGTGAATATAACGAATCCAACTGGAATTGGAACTCGGCTCTCTGATTTCCAATTCCGAGCCATTATCCATTACACCAATCGCATATTCAAGTTTACAGCAACTAATATTGCCAAGCGATCACCCATCTAAGTATTGATCAGAATCGACTTTGCTTAACTTCTGTGATGCAAACAGTTGCTCATTTGTAATCTAGACGCCATCAACGTTTTGCCCAGAGATTTAAATTGGCAGAGCAATACATATCCTGATTTGGGCCTGCAAACTTTTGTAATCAAATGCTCTACTACCAAGAATAATCGGATTGAGCTTCCCCGGAAGTACTTTAATCTGATATTAGATAATTTCTTTGACATAATAGAAACGTTAAACGTTCCAAGTTCTTAAGAAGAATGAGTTGTGCTCCGTTCTTAAGTATGAGCCTATGAGATGGAACACCAAGTGGCTCCAAGATGATTAGAATCTCATAATGTTTTGTTGTAACTTCGTTTAAAACTATAAGAAATTCAGATGTATAGTTTTATATAAAAATGTTTTCAGTCTTGCTGAGAGCCTGATTGATTAGAACAAGTAGTTTTTCTTCACCCGGTAAATTGTAATATGTTAAATGTCGGGAAAGTCATTAGTTCTAAGGTAATCCACAGGTGAGGTATAAATTTAGATATGTCACCTTGAGGATCAATTACATTCATTCCTTCATTAAAATCCAACACCTTTTTAGGAAAAGCAAATTAGCTGAGTGTTGATATTTGAAAAAGAAAGAATCTTATGTCCTCACATGATGAGGCCAGAGATAAAGTAACTCTTGACGTCTCCGACACGATTAGATTGAGCCGTTCGTTCACCATATCTCAGCAATCTTTTTGCAAAAATCCGAAGATAATAGATGTAGATTGATTCGCCTATCGTCCAGTTCACACCCCTGCGCGGTCTTTTGAACAAGAGTCGATCTTTATCCCTTTGTTTCCTAGTTAGGATTTGTTTCCCGGTTCCTTCAAATGTTTTTTTCATTCTCTTTCACTCCCAGTAGCCCCTTGGATCTTAGTCGTATTATTGCCTTGCGTGGGGTGAATAGATTAAAAAGAAAAAAAAAGAGCTTTTCCTCGGAAAAGTCGGCTCCTGTGTTTTCTTTTTTTTTCTAATCATTTCACCCCATGCAAGGCAGTAAAGCCACTAAGACACAAGTTACTGAGTGTGAAAGAATAAGCAAAAAGCGAAACGTTATTAAGAACTGAGAATAGCGAAGATGTAATCAATAAAGAAGAGTTTCTTTCCAATTTTGATTTCTTGTGTTTCCATAAATTGTGTTTCCACAAATATGATTTCAATCCATTTGCAGTATCCGATAAAATGTTTCCTACTCTATAAAAAAAAGGATTACTTATTCAGGTATACATAAGAGTCCAATCCGTAGTTTTCAAAGCAACTTTCTACCATAAAGCAGTCAATCTAAATTATCAATCAAGACAGTTTTAATATTTCCACTGACCTCTTAAAACTCATGAAGAATTTAAGTTTTCATTTAAAAATTTATAAGTTGAATTGAAAAGAAAATGTGTAACTGCATGCATTAATTAAGAAAAATAATTTTTGTGGTTATTTTATGAAAAATTCCATAATTATTATAAACTATTAATCAGATAAAATATTCTTAACTTACTTATTAGATTAATCTATATAAGTTGATAATACAAATTATTTACATTAATTAATGATTAGATTGCATGTGCGTGTGGTGGATGTGGATAGAGGCTCAAAAAGAGAAATCTAAAAGCCCAGTTTCAATTCCAGTCGAAGTCTTTACGTTCATATTCACGCTAATAACCTGTGAAAAATATGGATATATTTCTTCTCTCCCCGGCTCTGGTTAAACAATCGGACAAAAGAGTTTCTTCAGCCTTGGCTGACAACCAGTCTAGGAAAAGATGACTCGGAGACCAAAAATAAAGATAATTGGAACTCGATAGCGTGGGAACGCGTGGCTGTCTAAGGGAATGAAAACCACGAGAGAAATCCAACAAGTTTAGTCTTGGGGAACAATCACGGTACCCCTGTCTGTAATCACCGGGTACGGTGATTAGAAAACACCTCACCAAAAGGACATATGCCAAGAGGTACCAGCCATTAAAAAAAATGGATTTATTTATATTATTATATTTGAAACAATACCTGAGAAATAATTCCATATTTTCAAAATATCTCCTTTTATGTGATGTGGACCGTTGATGTCCTTAGAATGAACAGCTAGACTATTCACATATATCGCTTAATTGTAGTGGTGAAGGCTTGTGCAGAATACAGATAACTTGTGCACTGTATGCCACAAGGTCCCCAAAAGACCCACCGCAAGCTTTTGAATTAAGACATGTCCTTCTCCTAGATCGGTTGCCATCCAAGAATATAGAACACAATCTATCCTGGTGGGAGGCGAAAAAATAAATTAATATCTTTCACAAGGGTATTAGCACGTAGAGCTGCAATCCATTGCTTCACGGTGCTTCCTTAGAATCAACAGCCAGACTACTCAAGTACACACACACACACACACACACACACAAATATATATATATATATATATATATATATATATATATATATATATATATATATATTCCTAATTAATGATAAAAGCTTTTCTATGAATTGAGCACTTAGTAGTCAGTAATGCTTATATCTCGTATATAATGCGTTATAATACGTTAAATTTTTTCGCCGCTGCGCTGAGAAACTCCGGCTGATGTCAAATCAGTTGGGTTTCGATCCCGGTTTGAAGCAATCGCATGCCTAACCATACTAATGAGCTGTGAAAACGTCTTTCTGTGGATGACCATACATATAAAGTAATTTATAAAGATAGGTATCCAATTAAATAACTATTACGTAATTTTAAAATATATATATATATATATATATATATATATATATATATATATATGTGTGTGTGTGTGTGTGTGTGTCCGACAGTTATATATTTCCTGTTTCTACGTTATTTTTTAATTTGTAATTTTATATATATACAGGGTGTCCATAAAGTTCGTGTTCACTTTAAAAAATCTATAACTTTATTTGCATTTGCGATAGAAATAATTTGTAAAAAGGGTTAGAAAGAAGTAAATCTATGTTTTTAAGGTTTTTGTTGAAATTTTATTTAAGTTTTCACATGTCCTCCATCATTAGCAATACAAAGGGTAATACGATTTTGCAGTTCACGGAAAACATTTGCCAACTGATTTACAGTAATGCCTGAAATCATATTAGGTATTTTAGCTATACTTAAAACTAGTTAGATTAAACTTTATAACATTTTTCATAGATTATTTCTATCGCAAATACAAATAAAATTATAATTTTTTTTAAGTGCACACGAATTTTATAAACACCCTGTATATATACAAATGCTCTTTAAAATATGAAAGAAAAATACAGAAAAAACACAAATCTGAATATGCATTTATGTAGTATTAATGTTAAAATAAAATCAACGTCGGACGTTTCGGTCTATTTAAGACCATCTTCATGGACATTTTCATTTAAACATAATTAACATAATAACTTATAAAAATTTAACACAAAAGACGATGGACATAAGAGCCCAACTAATTCAAACAGATAACTGAAATTTTATACAGATCAGCGTTCTGTTTAAATGAAAATGTCCATGAAGATGGTCTTAAATAGACCGAAACGTCCGACGTCGACTTTATTTTAACATTAATACTACATAAATGCATATTCAGATTTGTGTTTTTCTGTATCTTTCTTTCATACTGTCGGATTTATATCCATATATTTGTTACATATATATATATATATATATATATATATATATATATATATATATATATATATATATATATATATATCAATCATATATATATATACATATATCATATATATATATATATATATATATATATATATATATATATATATATATATGTTAGTTTATATCAGGTAGAGAAATTGGTATCAATTGTTATTAGCCCTTGGTTCGAAAGAGAAGCTCAGTGAATTTTTAAGTTAATTTCAAATACAGTATTTAGATATTTGTACATAGATTTATTCAAACAGCAATGAATTAATTTCGTTATCATTATTATTATTATTGAATACATGATAAGAAAATTCAAGCAGAATGGGTTGCTTTGGCCTGAAGTGAGCTAATATTTTCATTTTATAAAAGACATACAAACTTCAATTTTCAAGCGATTCTTCAAAGTCCAGGGAGAGGCTACAAAATTTCGGCTTATGGTATAAATTGGATGCATGTGATGGCGAAGTAAGAGTTTGGAACTTTCATAAAAATTGTCAACCAACATAACTTGGAATTTTTCTAATAAGCAACAACGACTATAAGTTATAAGTTAACCTTAAGATTAACAAAATCTAATGATGAAAGTTTCCAACTTACAGTCTTGTACCAATACAAACTTAAGATCAGTTACCTAGCAAGTGATAACGGTCTTAATCTAAGAAAAGTCTTGAAATTAATAATAATAAAAAAAGATAAAAACTCGCCAATGGTTTGAAACTGGTCCTTACAGCAGATTAGATTTCATTCACTGAAGAAAATAAAGAAAAAATCATGATGTCTTTAGCACGAAGCTGAAATGAAGAACGGAAATGAAAAGATGTCGTGCAGATAAAACAAAAGAATATCTGAAATGAAAGAATAAAAAATATTTGGCACAATATTCAAATGCCATTTAACTTGTCACAGTCAATAAAAGATGGCGTAAATGTCTTCTGCGATTTGTGTATCTCAATTAACAAATGCTCTTTAAAATATAAAACAATTTGTTTAACATGACAAACGGGGATATACTTTACATTTTAATCATATTTTACGAAACGCTCATATATACAAATATGGGAGAAAATGATAAATAAAATTTTATATATCTGAAAAATGTTCGGACAACTGATTGCAATTGAAAAGAATTTATCTAGGCTCTGTATACATTCAGTTACAACTACTTCTAAAATAATAAAATAAAAATTAATACAAAAAGATAATAAACTATAATAATAAAGAACTTCATGCAATAATTACTACGAAGAATACAAAAGTGAAACCTTTTGGAATATAAATAAAAGTTTATATCTGTCTATATTTCTGAAATGAGGTCTTGTAACTATTTACATTGTTTGGACTGTTGTCCTAATCTTTATTGCTATATTCACCGTCTATATTTCTGAGGTGAGGTATTGTAACTATTTACACTATTTACATTGTTTCGACTGTTGTCCTCATCTTTATTGCCATATTCACAGTCTATATTTCTGAGATGAGGTATTGTAACTATTTACACTATTTAAATTGTTTGGACTGTTATCCTCATCTTTATTGCTATATTCACAGTCTATATTTCTGAGATGAGGTATTGTAACTATTTTTTTGCACTATTTACATT